ATTGGAGTTATGTTGGTAATAATTTTGGGGCCACTATTGCCCCATAACCCATATTGATCTTTGGGTTGCCTAGCAATCACCATCCTCCTGATTAACAGGACACTTCACTCAAAGAGACAGCATCCAGACAAATATAGTAAAAATCCAAATCTGAAGAGCTCCACAAAGAGCAAGGATTTTCGTTTAGGCCTCGACAAATGTTGACATACGAATGTTAATTATCCAGAGGAGGAACAAAGCGAAAGAGCAGATGTGCTGCCAAAAGGCAAACAAAGCACCTGAGGCGTCCGATGGGGCGTATGCGTGATAATTGTCGGCCGGGCTCGTCTCATTCCTTTATCCATTTTGGGGTCGGAGAGAGACTTTTCGTTAATATTCAATAGCAAGTATTAAATACAAAGTGTTAACAAACTTTTGCACTTTGCATGGCCCGGAGACGTGAACCCGTAAATCTACACTGTGGAAAATAGGTTCATATTTTAAAATCAAGTGTTTATAAATAGTGTTTAAAAATAGTTCTAATTGGATTTTTAAGTAGTATACTATTTTGGTTCTCTGCACATATTTGCCGGTTAAAAAGGCACATCCGCTTTAGAGGCAATGTCCTTTGGCGATGAAGAACAAGACAGGCTGACTGTCAGGATGGCATGTCCCAACTAACATGGCCAAGTATTTCATTAACCTGCCTCGTCCAGATACGCACATTGGCAGCTGCTGTCTAAGGGACGCTATGGGAGCGTTAACTTGTTTTCCCGGAACAGCCCTTTTTCCCTTTTCAGTTTCAGTCCTTTGCCCTCCATGTCCTGCCCCGCCCCGTCCCTGTGTGTGGGGACTTAACGATGGCAGGACGAGCGTTAAATTGTGTCCAGCGCCCATTGGAGCGAACTGGTATTTTATTATCATTTTTGTGGTGCCCTCAACCATGCTGTATCTGCGGCTGCTGGGAAAGTGTAAACTTTCCGGCACTTTGGGAGCGGAGGAAGGTCGCTGGCATTCAATGGGTATTTTGTGTTTTGCTTGCACCTGGCATGGCCTCTGACAATGGGCTTCGCTTACAAAGGCATTTCGAATTGCATAAACACAATATGCAGCTTGGTAACTTTTGAAATTAAATGCCAATTGCAAAAATGTGCAAAACTCTCCATTCAAAGAATGTGACACAGCAAAACCTAGGCAACCAATGCAATCAAAATGTGTTTTTCCATCCCACCCACTGCAGTCAGTTGAATGCTAAACATGCGCATGGCATAATTTCTTAATTACCAAAGTTGTCAGTTGCACTTAAAAGTGAGCAACAATTACAATTTTGCCTGCTACCTCTACGTTTGTCTGCTGCGTCATTGCAGGATGCAGGATGTGAAATAATTGCTCCAGGCTTCTAGGCCACCTGTGAAGACTTACAACAGTAAATCTAACAGTAGAACAGATTAACAGTAAATCTAACCACAAGTCTTTTACGGTATACCTCTCAAGAATCGGATAAGAATTAAAGACGATAGGCATGGCTAGGGGCCATATATGAAAAAATTTGAAAAATATTGATCCAAAATTGCGTTGCCAGTTTTTGATGCAAAATAATGGAGAATCATCCCAGAAATCTTTTAAGGTATTCCTCTCAAGGATCGGATAAAAATTGGCTAAGATATAGACATCGCTAGAGGCCGTATATGAGGATCCGGGATTTTCCAAGGGGGTCCATCGAAAAAATTTGAAAAATATCGATCCAAAATTTCTTTGCCAGGTTTTGATGCAGAATGATGGAGAATCATTCCAGAAATCTTTTAAGGTATTCCTCTCAAGGATCGGATAAAAATTGGCTAAGATATAGACATCGCTAGAGGCCGTATATGAGGATCCGGGATTTTCCAAGGGGGTCCATCGAAAAAATTTGCAAAATATCGATCCAAAATTTCTTTGCCAGGTTTTGATGCAGAATGGTGGAAAATCATTCCAGAAATCTTTTAAGGTATTCCTCTCAAGGATCGGATAAAAATTGGCTAAGATATAGACATGGCTAGAGGCCGTATATGAGGATCCGGGATTTTCCAAGGGGGTCCATCGAAAAAATTTGAAAAATATCGATCCAAAATTTCTTTGCCAGGTTTTGATGCAGAATGATGGAGAATCATTCCAGAAATCTTTTAAGGTATTCCTCTCAAGGATCGGATAAAAATTGGCCAAGATATAGGCATGGCTAGGGCCCATATATGAGGATCCCGAATTTCCCAAGGGGGTCCATCGAAAAAATTTGAAAAATATCGATCCAAAATTTCTTTGCCAGGTTTTGATGCAGAATGATGGAGAATCATTCCAGAAATCTTTTAAGGTATTCCTCTCAAGGATCGGATACAAATTGGCCAAGATATAGGCATGGCTAGGGCCCATATATGAGGATCCCGAATTTCCCAAGGGGGTCCATCAGAAAAATTTGAAAAATATCGATCCAAACTTGTGTGTCCAGGTTTTGATGCAGGATGATAGAGAACGATTTCAGAAATCTTTTAAGGTATTCTTCTCAAGGATCGGATAAAAATTGGCCAAGATATAGGCATGGCTAGGGCCCATATATGAGGATCCCGAATTTCCCAAGGGGGTCCATCGAAAAAATTTGAAAAATATCGATCCAAAGTTTCTTTGCCAGGTTTTGATGCAGAATGATTGAGAATCATTCCAGAAATCTTTTAAGGTATTCCTCTCAAGGATCGGATAAAAATTGGCCAAGATATAGACATGGCTAGGGGCCCATATATGAGGATCCCGAATTTCCCAAGGGGGTCGATCAAAAAAATTTGAAAAATATCGATCCAAAATTTCTTTGCCAGGTTTTGATGCAGAATGATGGAGAATCATTCAAGAAATCTTTTAAGGTATTCCTCTCAAGGATCGGATAAAAATTGGCCAAGATATAGGCATGGCTAGGGCCCATATATGAGGATCCCGAATTTCCCAAGGGGGTCCATCGAAAAAATTTGAAAAATATCGATCCAAAATTTCTTTGCCAGGTTTTGATGCAGAATGATGGAGAATCATTCCAGAAATCTTTTAAGGTATTTCTCTCAAGGATCGGATACAAATTGGCCAAAATATAGGCATGGCTAGGGCCCATATATGAGGATCCCGAATTTCCCAAGGGGGTCCATCGAAAAAATTTGAAAAATATCGATCCAAAATTTCTTTGCCAGGTTTTGATGCAGAATGATGGAGAATCATTCCAGAAATCTTTTAAGGTATTCCTCTCAAGGATCGGATAAAAATTGAATAAGATATAGACATGGCTAGAGGCCATATATGAGGATCCGGGATTTTCCAAGGGGGTCCAACCAAAAAATTTGAATGATGGAGAATCTAACATTGAATCGTTCAAGATATTCCGCTTCAAAATCGTATGAAAGTGGCCTACAATATAGACAAAAGCCTAGAAAAACTTAAGAAACAAATGCATATTCCCATGGTGGAAGAAGTCCAGCACTTTAAATAAAAAAACCTTTATTTTGGTGAGTACTTTAGTTTTTTATTTCCACGTCCAGAGTACATATTATATTCTCCGAATTAAGCTCCAAACTGCAGGAGTACATGCAACGAGAAAGGTACGCTGGCAGATCAACTATTTCGTGCCAATTTGGGCAAATGATGCAAAGAGCTGTCAGTGGCAGAAATAGTTCGAGAATCCTTTTTGGGGAAAAGCAGATTGGTGAGATGGCAAACGAGTGTTCCGTGAAGCGTTTCAGGTTCCGTGGTGCCACCTTGTGTACCAGGAGCCTGCTCCATCCTCCCTGTTCATTCCTATTCCCTGCATCCGCCTACTTCTTAAAACTTGTCGTGAAATTTTCTATTTGCTGATGCGCGAGTTGCATTTCCTTTCCTTTTCCCATTGCGGTTCCAGATGGTTTTGTCGCTCTTTGCTGCTCCCGGTCGTGTTGTCATTTCAATTTCAATTTGCTGACGGAACTTGAAGCGTCGCCCGTGACAACGAAGCCCAAGTTTCGGCATTGCCCTGGCCACCAATTAGTGCCAGAGACAGAGCCAGAGCCCGAGCCAGAGTGTGATTGCCAAACGGGGTAACCGAGAACACGACCTTCGAAAGTGTAGCAAAATTTGTGGCAATTGTTGACTTGAAGTGGCATACCATGCGACACAGTAGCATCTCCTGTTTTCCGGATTTAATTAAAATGTTTTACACATGCGTAAATCCCGGCATAATTGTTTTACCTGCAACATATCCAGCGGGCGTTTCGCATCATTTCACTGGCAATAAACTTTAATTATGGACATGGTCCAGGCCTTGTCATCGGCCTCGTCGTCGTCCTCCCCCAAGGTATTTTAATGTCACAAAATGTTATTAAATCTGTCCTGTCCCTGTCAGGGGCGTACACAACACAAGGGCCATCTCTGGCAACCGCAAAAATTTGTCAAATTAAATTTACACCTGTTTAGAAATATGCAAATATCCGCCACACGAGTGGGAGGTCATGCCAGTGTAGTGCTCTGTGTGGGTTTTTATTCAACTTTCGTCGGTCAGGGGCCAGTCGACACAAAAAAAGAGTATCCTTGGAGGAAACACAATTTAGCTGCACTCATAAACCTCTGCCCCGATCCTGGGAGGAGGCAAGGAGGTCTGCCGAAAGCAAGAGGATGTGTTGCGGATGATTGCTGCAAATTGCCAACACAGTTGTTGACTTTGGCCATGTGGCCCTTGTGTGTCTGTGTCTGTGCGTGTGCGTTTGGACTTGGCTAGTGGCCACTTACCACTGGCATTCAAATAGCCCAGCTTTTGCCCGGTTCTTGGCTCGTTTTGTTGGCAGTTGTGTCATGGATTGATAGCTATACTAACTTTGATTTATTACCTGCTGTGCACACACAAGAGACTGATACAGAATTGCCAAACTGACGGTCGATGGGCATGCTGCCAGGATTGCTGTTGCTGCCAGAGGCTCCTCCTCCGTTCAGGGGCCAAGTCCTCTTAATAAACTATCAATGTCAACTGCATCTCCGACCGGCTCTCTAATTACAACAGCCCTAGTGCACACCCATGTATTATGCAACCCAAAACTAATCAACAAACAAGCTTGTTCCTACCTAGTTCGGTTCGAGTCCCTGCACTTGACATCGAAGATTGGCATTTATTGGGTGCTGGGATATTGAGTTTCCGAGGATTTACAGCTAAAACTAATCGTACTCGAACTCATAGCTGACTGACATGGCCCAGGAACAAGGTGCTCTCCTTGCCCAGGATGGCGAAGGCGAAGGGATGATCCGCCACGAACTCGACAGTCTGCTCCCCAATAACCAGGGACTCCAGCTCGGCCTTGACAACTGCGGACAGAGAAAGTAAATCAACTGGCCAGGTGCCGAGTCATTTTCTGGGGAAACTTACAGGTAGCCCCACTGGCCGTGGTTCCCTTCTCGTTCACCTCGATGACAGCCTTGTGCTTCACTTCCGAGATGCGAAGGGGCGTGGGAGCACTCAGTAGTGCGCTGAAGTCAGCCTGAGGTCCAAAAAGTTGCTTGATTCCCAACTAGAAGTATTAGGAAAACGATGTAGGTAACTCGTAATGGAGTCATGATGGAAACAACTTCAACTCTGACCCACCTCTTCCAAAACTGGTTGCAGGGGCACATCAAACTCAAATTTAAACTTGGGCAGTTGGAGCTCCACCTTCCGTCTGCTCAGGCGGGAGCGCACGTCCTTCAGGTCCAGGCCGTTGAGTTTCTCCTCCAGGGTGGCTAATCCTTGCTCCTCCTTGGGCAAAAGTACCAGGAACACAATATCTGTGCCGAAGTAAGGCAGTTCCAGAACCTTGGCCCCCAACTCCGATAGCTCGCCGTAGCTGAAGTAATCCGATTGTGACATGGTGTCCACGCTGACACGCTGACCTCCGTGGTTGACAAAGTCCCTGGCATACGTGGCGTAGTCGGGGAAACTGTTCTGCCAGTCGGCCTTGAAGTAAATGGCATTGACCAGAATGGCAGCTGTATCGGCATCGAGGGAGTCCGGACCGATGAGGTTCTTGATTTGTTGGTGGGTCTGCTCCTCCACCCAGGAGTTGATGGTCCGGGCCGCCTCAGCACTCTGGCTGAAGTTCAGATTTTCGGCAACGGCTGCAAAATTTCCGCTCACCAAATCCTGATAGGCTTGGGCCAGTTGGAATTTCTGTGCCACATAAATCCGATTGGCCACCTTTAACTGGGTCTCTTCTTCTCCAACTCCCAGGGACGGTGTGTCCCTTTTCAGGGCCTTGGCCACCTGCTGGGCCACCTCGATTTTGTCTGCCCCCTCCAGACCCAGTCCCTCCTTCAGTTCGCCGGCAGTACTGCCCTCGGCGCCCAGGTAAGCCAGCGTCAGTCCAGTCCTAATGGACGCCGGAGAAAAAACGATGTTTCTGTTGACATTGGACTTGGCCAGAGGTCCATAGAGCCTCGAGGAGAACTTGGAGTCACCGTTCGTGTTCGCCATGGCTAGACCCAAAATCAAATTCTGGACTAAAACTAGCAATATTAACTTGGCTATAAGAGGGGAGTAAAAAAATAAAGATGATTATCAATATTGATCTCCTAAGAGGGTCTGCCTTTCCTACCTGACATTCTGATTCTGACTGAATTATACTTTGAGTTTCATTAGTTCTTGTTGGCTCTTTTTTGGTTGGTTTTGGGCTAAAACAGGTTTTTAGTTTTCTTAGGAATTACGTTTGTTTTTATGTAGAAAGAAATGATAAAAACAAGTTACAAAGTAAGAAAACAAACAGTTCTGGGAAGAGTTCTCGGACAAACAATGTGAAAACTTAAGCCATTGAAAGGGAATTTTTTTAAAAGACTAAAGTCTCTAAAACAAATATTCTACTTTCAGATAGAAACTAAATATAACATCGTATAAACCAATAAATCTTTGAAAGACTATCTTATAATAAATAATTAAATAAGGATATAAATAAAAAGGGATAAATCCTAAAAGCCTTTCTACTAAAATAACATCTAAAGTGTTATATATTGATATGTTATTATCATAAATTCTTTAAACCCTAAACTTAAAGAAAGGTTCTTATAACCATCAAAAATAAGGTCTAAAATTTGGTCTAATCGTACTTAAGAGAAAGTTCTCTTTATTTTTGTTTACATCACTTAACTTTATTTTATTCTCCCTCTTAATAAATATATTTCTCTTATTTGTTGATAAACGGTGATGTCATTTGCGTTGTTTACAATTGCAAGCTTATTCTCTCAAATCAAATCACTCGGAAAGTAGTACAACTTTTTTATTTCACGTAAACGTATGGCATATATTATAAAATATAATATAAAAGTATATGCTGCCACAGATAAGTTCCCACATACCTGATGCAATGAATCTATAGATTGGATTGGATTGGATCGGAAACAATGCGTTGGCGCCTGTGTTTCATAGAGAACTGAATGATGTTTTTTTGTTTTTAGGGGAGCTCTTTCTTTTTTTGGATGACACTCTCTGCCCTTTGGGGAATTTATGTTAATTGAAAATTATACATAGAGCCACTTAACCCGTTTCCAAAAAAAAAACTTCACAAGAAGCCGCTGGGGAATAATAGAGAGATCCTAAAGTATTCAAAAAAAAAATATAACCCAAAACACAAGTGCTTTTATTTATAGATACAACACTTTTTATTATAGATCTCTGGAATTTTTTAAAAGCATTTATTGGAATAATCAGAGCATCAGTTTAACTTTAAAATTAGAGTTCTGGTTTTTCCAAAATAAAGTTTAATTTTTTAAAACTAACATATTATACATATGGACTACTATTTCTATGAAAATATCACAATTTATAGATTTTGGGATATTTAGGATTAGGAGAGGTGTATAACTATGCCCATTCCCTTAGGCAGGATTCACCACCGTGCCCTGGAAGTAAACGGTACTCTGGTCCCGGATCATGAAAGCAAAAGGATGATCCGCCACGAAGGAAGGCGCGAAACCAGATCGAAGAGAAACCGATATAGCTAAGGATAATGAAAGAGAAAGTTTTAAGAAAGGAAATTTTTAAAGGATAATCAGAAAACAAACCTGTAGCAGCCGCCGCCTCGGCACCCTCCTCGTTGACCTCCAAGAAGGCTTTGTGGGTTACCCGACTCACTTTTCCGCCAGATCCATCGGCGAAGAGTCCACTGAGGTTCGACTGATCGGAGAACACCTCACGGACGCCCAACTGCTCAAGACTCTCCTGGAGCTCCGTTTGGAACTCAATCTTGAACTTGGGCAGGACGAGAAGCATTTCCGAAGGATCCAACTGCTCCGAGAACCCAACCATTTTCTCCTCCATTTTGTTCAGGCCATCGACGTCGTTGGGCAGGAAGATCAGCATGGAGAGGTTGGAGTTCCGGTAGGGCAGCTCGACGACTTGGCCGCTCCAATCGGCGAAGATGTGCGTCCGGAAAGTGCCCGTTTGGTGCATCATCGGCACACTCACCCTCTCGCTGGGGGTGACTTTGAAGGGGGAGACCTCGGTGGCTTTGGGATCGAACTGGGACTCCCACTGGCCCTTGAAATAGATGGCGTTAACCAGCACAGCCCTGACTTCAGGGGTCATGCTATCGGGTTCGACTATGCCATTGATCTTGCCGTGCGTCTGGTCACGCACCCACTGATTGATACCCTCGGCCGCCTTGGTGCTGTCTCCCAGGCTGATGGCCTCCGCCTCCGCCTTGAAAGAGTCCCGTGCCAATTGATTGTACTCCGGATGCAGGGTCAGCCGGTCGTTGACGTAGATCCGGTTCGCCACTTGCATAGTGTAGCCCTCCCTGCTGACCTGGAGGGACTCCAGCTTGGTCTTGTACTTCGCAGCCAGATCCTGTTTGCTTCCGGACTGTAGCCTCAATGCAGTCTGGAGCTCCTGGGCCGTTGTTCCCTCCGCCCCCATGTAAAGAAGGCTCAGGACGGTCTCGATGGAAAGGGGTGACACCACCAGGTTCTTGTTGGGATTGCTCTTGGCCAGGTGCTGGTAGATCCCATCAGCTTGCTGGCCCACCACGGCCGTGGCCCACAGAATCAGGCCTGCCAAGAGGAGGGAGAACTTGGTTAGCCGCTACCTTCCAGTGCAATGCGGGGAGCCACTTACACAAGTATTTCATTTCACTGCGGACTCCGGCGGAATGATTGTCGAGAGAAGTGCCTCTGTAGACTGGCCCGAGATCTGAGAGTCGGGTTTATTTATAAGTGGGTCTGAGACTGGTCTGGTCAGGCTGCTGGAAGATAAGCACGAGCTGCGCTGGGCATCGTGAGCGATTCAAATGAAATGACTACTTGTGGGATTTTCCAGTGGCATTTTATTTTCTATTGCAGTTCACTATTATCTAGTTAGGCCTCCACACCGACAGTTATTCCGACATTTCTCATTGGTGCATGCCTCAGAAGACTGGCCCTGAGCTCCTACGAATCTTCCGGCAAAGAATACGGCCTGCGAGTTACGGATGTAGAACACAAACGGGTGGTCCGCCTTGAATTTCTTCGTGTTCATATTCAGCATCATTGGCACAATCTTCATGACTGAAAAGGAGGATTCTGTTATCCAGGAGGATCAACCTAAGCCTTGAAATAATATGGACTTACAGGATACGGCAGCTGCCTCGGAACCAGCCTCGTTTACGTTTATGTAGCCACGATGCCTGGCCGCCGAAATCTTCTGCTTTTCTTTAGTGGTGAAGAGTCCATCCAGTTGGGCGGCGTCTGTAAAGATCTCCGCAATTCCAAGCTATAATTTAAAATATATTATTAGTCGGCAGCTAGTCTTATTTAACATCAAGGGGAAATCAATTTGTAAGACTTAATTCGTTGAATTACAAATGGAATTTCCTCAATTGAGGCCCGTGCTCCAAGAAATATCTTGGGTCAAAAGTCAAGTCATTTAGTTTTCTAATTTTCTTAAGAAGTATTACCCCACCTTTTTCAATATATCCTTCAAGTCCACATCAAACTCTATGCTGAACTGAGGCAGTGAAACAACCACATCCCGAATGTTCATCGCCTCATCAATGGAGGTCAGATCAATATCTTTGAGCTTGGCTTCCAGATCCTGCAGCCCAAATCTGTCATCCGGCAGGATTATGAGCATGTGGATATGGGAGGCCTCATAAGACAGCTGCACGGCTTTCGCCTTCAGATGGTGCAGTTCGGCGAACTTGAACTTGTCCTCCTGGGTCATCATGTCCACCTCGATGCTGGTGTCTGAATCCACGAAGAATGCATGTTTTCCTGTGGCCTCTGGCATGAAGGGCTTCTTCCACTTGCCCTTGAAGTACAAAGCATTGATGAGCACGGCACTGGTCGCATCGTCCACGGCATCGGATTGCAGAAGATTCGTGATTCTCTGCTCCGTCTCCTTTTCCACCCACTCATTGATGTACTTGGTGGCGGATGCCGAATCAGCAAACTCCAAGGGCTCTGCCTTGGTTTGGAAAAAGTCGCTGGCTACCTCATTGAACTCCGGATGGAGTTCCAGGTTGCTGTTCACGTACAAACTGTTCACGGATTTCAGTATCGGACCTCGGTCGCCGTAATTGCAGTTTGTCCGCCAAAAATCGCCAAAGGTACGGGCTATGTGATGCCGATCGCCAGGACCCAACAGGAGGCCTTTGTTTAGCTCCTCAGCCGTCGATCCGGTGGCTGCCATGTAGGCCAGCGTCAGGCAACTTTGAATGGAGGCGGGGGAGAAGACTGTGTTCCGCTGACGACGACTCTTCTTCGCAACGTCCTGGGTAATGATATCCGTCAGGATGCGAGAGAACTCATTTCTACTCTCTTGGGGATCGGACATCTTGCTCTGAAATGGGGAAGACTATCTATCATTAGACACTAAGTTCAAGGAGTGGCTATTGGAATCACTTTAGAAATTTTATTAAAAGGGTTTCCCTTCCATTTTTTCTGTTTTTTGTAAGCCCTTTGGTTTGTATAACTTTATGACGTTACTATAAAAACAAATTAGGGAATATAAACTGCCACTTCTGTCGATAAGGCACCACACAAAGCCCAAATGGTTTGTCAAGAAAATACATTACACGTGGATCTTGTAAGAATCATAAAAAACCAAAAAAAAGTTTGAGGTACGAGGTCGGGTTGAGATTTCGAATGGCTTCTGGTTGACTGGTGTTGGGTTGTTTGACGAAAACTGATTTCCAAAGGTCTGTGACCACAAGGCGTCATTGATAACGATCCCAGAAGTTACCGGTGATTACTTACACCGGAAAAAAGAATCGATCAGTGGCGATAGTGGAAGCGACTAGTAGAGGTGCGAGGTGTCTGTCAGACGGTTCGGGACTGACTGTAGCACTCGAAAGCGTTTGTGACTCAGAAAAACAAACTGGCGTACGATTAGATAAATTCCAAGAGAGTCTGGAAAGGTGGGTGCTTCACAGCGAGAGAGCCAGGTAGCTGATTAGGCGCCGGGAACGGAACCTTCCCATCCAGCAATCCTCCAGCAAACCCACCCAACCCACTCGAAGGTGGTACGATAGCTTATCGTGGCTCTAATTATAATAATTATTCGCGCTGTCCATCAAAGTGAGACCTTGGGGGAGGGTCTCGACTTTAAAAATACCCTCTTTTTAGGAGGACTACTTAAATCCAAAAAAAAGAGTATACTTTGACATTATTTACAAAAAACAACTTTTCTACAAGTGCCTCGGCAGTGGCCTCCCAAATTTCCCTACAGTAACCACCATGAAGCTGTCAGACTTCGCCAAGGGTCTGGAGACGTTCTCCCACTGTATGCACGACCATCTAAACCAGGCCAATCCCAACCAGAACATCATCTTCTCGCCCCTGTCCATCCGGGTGGCGGCGGGCATGCTGCGGATGGGAGCGGAACCCGAAACGGCCACAGCCCGGGAGTTGGACGACGGACTCCGGTTCGGAGGGAGCACCGTCTCGCAGACAGGAGATAACTTCGAAGAGGTCATGAGCGCCTACGACCCCTGTCAAATCCTGAAGATGGCCAACAGGCTCTACATAATGGAGGGCCACACGATAGCCCATGAGTTCGAACGTGTCTTGGATGAGAAGTTCCACTCCACACCCGTCTCGATTGACTTCGCCAGCGGAACGGCGGAAAGCACCATCAACTCCTGGGTGGAGACCCAAACAAATAACAAGATCAAGAATCTCATCGAGCGCGGGTCCCTGAGCTCGGACTGCCGACTGGTCCTGATCAATGCCATTCATTTCAAGGGAGAGTGGGCGATTCGGTTCAACGAACACATGACCCAGGAGGACGAATTCTTCCCAAATCCTGACACCTCGGTCAAGGTTAACATGATGAACCAACTGGACAAGTACGCATTTGCGGATCTGCCCCATCTGGATGCCACTGCCCTGAGGATGAACTACAACGCTTGCAACCTGTCCATGGTTATCATTCTGCCGAACCCGAAATCGGACCTTGCCACCTTGGAGGGCAACCTGTCAGGGGTATCCCTTGAAACCATAGTATCTGCTATGTCCGTCGTCAAAGTTGCAGTCCAGATCCCCAAGTTCAAGGCTGAATTCTCACAGGAGCTAGGCGGAATTTTTAAAACGGTAGGTTGCAGTTTATATGGAGGTTAACCTAACTATTGGGTTACAGATGGGCATGAGTCGCATATTTAGCGATCAAGCTGAATTCGGGAGAATGCTGGAACCCCCTACTCCACTCACAGTCTCCAAAATTATTCACAAGGCTTTCATCGAAGTTAATGAATTGGGAACTGAAGCAGCTGCAGCTACGGGTAAGCGGGGAAACAAATTATTTTTTAGATCTTTTGTGAAATTTTCAGGGGGACTTCCTGCGAAAGTTCGGAAATGCAAGGGAGGCACACTTTGACCCACGCCGAAGAGCATATCTTTGCCAATTCTTATCCGATTCTTGAGCGGAGTACCTTTATCGATTTGTGGATAGATTCTCCACAAATCTGCATCAAAATCTAGAAACAAATTATTTTTTAGTTTTTTTGTCAAATTTTCTAGGGGATCCCCTGCGAAAGTTCGGAAATGCATGGGAGGCACAATTTGACCCACGCCGAAGGGCATATCTTTGCCAATTCTTATCCGATTCTTGAGCGGAGTACCTTTATCGATTTGTGGATAGATTCTCCACAAATCTGCATCAAAATCTAGAAACAAATTTTTTTTTAGATTTTTTGTCAAATTTTCTAGGGGACCCCCTGCAAAAGTTCAGAAATGCAAGGGAGGCAAAATTTTAACCACGCCGAAGAGCATATCTTTGCCAATTCTTATCTGATCCTTGAGCGGAGTACCTTTATCGATTTGTGGATAGATTCTCCACAAATCTGCATCAAAATCTAGAAACAAATTATTTTTTAGTTTTTTTGTCAAATTTTCTAGGGGATCCCCTGCGAAAGTTCGGAAATGCAAGGGAGGCACACTTTGACCCACGCCGAAGAGCATATCTTTGCCAATTCTTATCGGATTCTCGAGAGGAGTACCTTTATCGATTTTTGGATAGATTCTCCACCAATCTGCATCAAAATCTATGCTATGTAGGGGTTCCCCTAGAAAATTCCAGTATCAAATTGATACTGGAAGCATTTCTTAAAGAAGTTCTTGTACTTGCAGCTGCTGTCATCATGGTTAGAACCATGCCGGCCCCCGAAATCCATCAGTTTTTCATCGCCAACCGACCGTTCTTCTATGCCATTTGTGACAATACCCATGGTTTCCTATTTGTGGGTCACTTTACATCTCCGCCTGGAGAATCAACCTATAAATGCGACAAATGTGGTCCAAAAACCTCTTGTAAAAAATGTGAAACCTGTACAAAATGCAAATGATGGAAACCTCGATTTTGGGAGAATATACATAAGTCTAGATGAGGGTTTCCTCGTATGGAGTAACTGATGCAACAAAGCATGCCGATGAGGTAATTATTTTGTTTTTTTATTTATGAAAACACGTATTTTATATTTTGATGCCACATTCATGGGTAATTTTATTGAATGAATGGCGATAAGTTTATTTTGCGATTATAATTCAAGGCCCCTCAAAAAACCATATACTTGCAGAACAAAATACAAAACCCCCTCCAATCTCTCATGTTTACTTGACTCTGAAAATAATTATATACTGTTTCCTTATCAGGGGAATCGACAAATTCCCTTTATTTTTAATGACCAAAGCCGCAGAAGCTCAGCTTTGACACACTACAAGCTGATAAGGTTGATGGGGCCACAGCAGTCTAAAACGCACATCTCAAGAACCAAGTTGACTCGAAATTTCGGAATATTACCTATTTATTGACTAAAATAACAAGACGTTGGCAAAATGGAGAACTTATCACCATTGCAGAAAGGTAAGTTTGTCGGATAGGGGCTTTTTAAAGAGAAACAGTCGGAAGGCATAAGAATGTTAAGAGAACGAGAAAAGAGAGCCACCCCCATGAACCCCAAGAGTGTTAGATATAAAAATATATGGGCATTAAGAGAAAACCTGTTGGCGTTTGGGGGAAACAACCAGGAGCGTCCACAAATACAATGAACGCTCCCAGAGTAGACATCAGTCGAGTTTCCGACGCCACCACGCATAGAGCTCTAGCCCTGTACCAGTGTCAACAAATTTTCATTTAGAATCTACTGGAGAAAGCCGATTGATAAGCCAGCTGCACGCCATCCAGTCATTATTCAGTCACTTTCGATAGACAAAGCCGAGTAAATCCCCGACGAAACGGCATACCAGAGCGATTTAGTAAACGCTTTTCGTGGAGGTGACTCATCGGTCCACTGCCATTACATAAATTTATGAAACGAAGCACTGCTAATTTCCACAACAATAATTGTCAACTTACAGCTTGCTGGCTGCTACTGCTGCTCTTCCCCATCCTCGCCCAAGCCCACGCCTCGCCCCCCGGACCCGTCATGGCAGATGCCGCCAAGCAGGAGTTCGCCCGCCGTCTGGCCCTCTTCTCCATCAATGTGTACGGTAAGCTGGCTGCCCTGAAGCCCGGCGAAAACCTGGTCTTCTCGCCCTTCTCCATCCAGACGTGCGCGGCGATGGCCCGTCTGGGGGCAGATGGCGAGACCGCCGCCCAGCTGGACCAGGGACTGGGCCTGGCCTCCGCCAATGTGGACCAGATTGCCAAGAGCTTCAACCAAGTACTGGCCACCTACCAGGACAGTCAGATCCTGCGCATTGCCAACAAGATCTTCGTGATGGACGGCTACTCGCTGGCTCCCCAGTTCGACCAGCTGCTGAGCAAGGAGTTCCTGTCGGCGGCACAGAAAGTCAACTTCGCCAGCAGCTCCCAGGCGGCGGCCACCATCAACGGTTGGGTGGAGGAGCGCACCAACCACCTCATCAAGGACCTGATTCCGGCCAGTGCTCTGAACGCTGACTCGCGTCTGGTCCTGGTCAATGCCATCCATTTCAAGGGCAACTGGGTTCACCAGTTCCCCAAGTACGCCACGCGGCCAGACACCTTCCACCTGGACAACGAGCGAAGCATCCAGGTGCCCATGATGAGTGTTAAGGAGCGTTTCCGTTACGCCGACCTGCCGTCTCTGAATGCCGCCGCCCTGGAGCTGCCCTACAAGGACTCGGATCTGTCCATGCTGATAATCCTGCCCAACAGCAAGACAGGTCTGCCCGCCCTGGAGGAGAAGCTGCGCTCCACCCCGCTGTCGGTGATAACACAGGCCCTGCAGAAGACGCAGGTGCAGGTCAAGCTTCCCAAGTTCAAGGCGGAGTTCCAAATCGAACTGTCGGAGGTGTTCCGAAAGGTAAGCTAACCATCTGACCATCCTAGTAGGGATAAACCATTGTCTTCCTTCTTAGCTCGGCATGACGAGGCTGTTCACCAACGACGCGGAGTTCGACAAGATGCTGGAGACTCCCGAGCCCCTCCAGGTATCGGCTATCATCCACAAGGCCTTCATCGACGTCAACGAGGAGGGCACCGAGGCTGCGGCTGCCACTGGTGAGTCATTTATAGTTTCTCTGCCTCGTCATCCTGTGCATGTCCTCATCCATTCATCCGTATCTGTGTTGTCTTTCTCGTTCCGAATCGCAGGCATCGTGGTGCGTAAAAAGCGCTGCGTTATATCGCTGGACGAACCCACTGAGTTCCTTGCCGATCATCCATTCACTTATGTCCTCGTCCATCAGGAGGAGATTCCCATGTTTTGGGGGTCTGTTGTGCGGCTCGAGGAGACAGCCTCCGATATCAGCGAGCATGAAGAGCTGTGATAGAATCTCATTTTGTTTTCATCAATAAAGGCAGCTATTTATTAAATAAGAACCACGATGGTAAAATTCTTCTAAATTATTGGGACAAGATAAAAGGGGTATGATACAGCATGATTTGGACTCTTAGTTTTTAGTAAAGTAATGTATTTACTTACCTATCGGCATGCAAAGTTATTTCATTACACATTCATGATCATCTTCTATCAGCTATCAGTACAAAAAAGGTCTTCACTCGGGGTTCTTAAAAAGAAATCATAAAAGGAATCTTTAATTCAAGTCTTTTCCACCTTTTAACCTTCGTTTGCTTTTCCGCTGTCATATCCAATTCCAGGTATGACTTATATGCGCTGTTCCTTGACCATTACCCTGGGAGAACCTACGCGATTCTATGTCGATCATGCTTTCAATTATTATGTTCACGATAAGGACTCTACCATTCTTTTCGCCGGAAACATACAGAAACTCTAATCATGGGTATACACCAAAAACATTCATATAACATGCTGTGTGTCTCATCCACATTCATTTTCAGGTACTGTAGCTGATCCAGAATATTCCAAAAACCAAGTCCAAGAACCGTTTTCATGTCGAACATCCATTCCTATAGATAATATTTTATATGAGACCTGCACTATATTTTTTTTTCCGCACAACTTGTAAACTATATAGTCTGAAAATAGTCTGAAACATAGGACCTTCTAACCTCCGATTGCTATTCCGCTGTCATATCCACTTCCAGGTATGATGATTATGCGCTGTTCCATGCCCATGCCCCAGCAGGAACCGATGCGTTTCTATGTCGATCATGCTTTCAATTATTATATTCTCGATAAGGACTCTACAATTCTTTTCGCGGGAAACATACAGAAACTCTAATCATGGGTATACACCAAAAACATTCATCTTACATTCCGCGTGTCTCTGATCTAGCTGATCCAGAATCTTCCAAAAACCAAGTCCGAACCGTTTTCATGTCGACCATCCATTCCTATATATAATATTTTAAATGAGACCTGCACTATATTTTTTTTTGTCGCACAACTTGTAAACTATATAGTCTGAAACATAGGACCTTCTAACCTCCGATTGCTATTCCGCTGTCATATCCACTTCCAGGTATGATGATTATGCGCTGTTCCATGCCCATGCCCCAGCAGGAACCGACCCGATTCTATGTCGATCATGCTTTCAATTATTATATTCTCGATAAGGACTCCACCATTCTTTTCGCGGGAAACATACAGAAACTATAATCATGGGTATACACTAATAACCCCCATCTGACAAAGCGGTTTGTTTCATCCACATCCATTTGCAGGTATTGTAGCCGATTTTTTAATGATGACACCGGATCCCACGTTCTTCTATGCCGAGCATCCATTCAGCTTTTATATTGTCGATAAGGAACCAAATGTGGTTTTTGCTGGCAGGCTTCATCAGCTCTAGGCAGCAGCACCATACCAAATATAATTTTACTAAAAATATGCTCTCTGAATGATCTTTTTATACTTTAAACTCTTTTTGTACTAACCAAGCATGTAAACCTTTAATAAAAAGAGAACTGAATCTGCTTAAATTACTCACTGAATCAATGGTTCCTCTACAGGATTCCGGATAATGCCGGTGGCGGGCTTCAGACGAAGACACTTCACGGTGAACCGACCCTTCGTCTACTGGGTCAAGTCTGAGACAGACTTCCCCATCTTCACCGGGCGACATTTGGGATAAGCAATAGAGACTTATAAGTTATAACTCCAATGAAATAAAATAAACGACTAGTGTCTAATAGGCACCAATTATCTTATGATCTTACAAGTAATTTATAGAAATGTTCCCTTTGGGAGGTGCATCCAAGCCTGACGGTTTAGCATGCAATAGGTGAATTAGTAGAGCAAATCAAGCGAAGATGTCAGGCATTCGATCTTATGGCTTCAAGCACAAAGCTGTGAAGATGCTTCACTGGTGGACGTCAGCTATTCTGCTGTCATGGATCCAGCTGGTCCAGGCCAACTTTTCGACGGGCTTATTCAACTGTGAGTAGCAGGATGTTCAGTGTATTGGGTAACTCACAGGACCTTTCGAATTCAGTGACGGTCTATAAGCAAATGCCCCCCCTTTACCAACTGGATGACTATGATCTCTGCCAAGACAGGATGGCCGGCATTTACTGCCTGGCTTACGTGGAAATTAAACCAAACTCCAGCTCGGTTCTTTGGCAGCTAATTGAAGAGGTCTCGTTGGATTCAAAACACCGCTTTCGTCATGATCATGTCTTCAGAGGAGTGTGTCTAGAAAGGTGCCTGAACATTATCCTTTTAGCTGGCGATGCAACTGTCTTTCAACAAGAAGATATCCAGGACCTAGAGCTTAGTTCCTACTACAATAAGGTACATCTAAGACGTGGCGACGCCGAGGAGCGCCTGCTCTACAACGAAATGGTTAATACTTGTTTAAACCTAGAGTTCGGCCAGAAGTATGAGCTGCAAGTGCAAAGCCTCATAGAATATTGTGACAAGTCCAATGATCCTTTGGGTCAAGGCAAGTACAGATCTTAATTGAGAAAGGGTAATTATAACCCTTAATTTGTAGATGCTCTGGACCTTACAATTTACATCCTAATGGCCTCCATCCTGATGCTCACAATTCTTTCCACCTTTTACGATTACCAGATAAGATCTTCCAGTTTGCAGCAGGACTCTAGCTTTTACCAAGTTCCTTTAAAGAGCAGCCGTAAGTGGAGATCCTTTAAAAAATGAAAGATTATTAATGGATTGGTCTCAGGGGAGATACTACTCACCTCCTTCTCTCTGAGGCGCAACTACCATCGTCTAATACAGCCGCATTCCAGCACCTTCTCGCGCGATATCAGCTTCTTTGATGGTTTCCGAGCCATCGGTGTTTTTATGGTGATTTTGGGTCACACCTTGATGGTCTTTATGACGGTTCCAATACAGAATCCCGAGTTCTACGAGCAGTTCCTGTTCAAGTTTGAGACTTCTATTTTTCAGAACGGCAGCCTGGTCATCCAAATATTCTTTGTAATGAGCGGTTTCCTTCTTTTTGTGAACTTTACGGACAGGCAACTGGTTAACCCGCAGACGAGCACCATCAACTGCATTGCCGCCTACTTTCGTGTGTTTTTCTACAGATACTTTCGTCTCCTGCCATCGCTCCTGGCAGTGATCCTTTTCAACGCCACTTTGTTAGTGCGCCTCCAGGACGGACCCTTTTGGCGGCACCTGGCCGAGGGCGAGCGTGTATTCTGTCGCATTAATTGGTGGAAGAACGTCTTCTTTGTGACGAATCATATGCTGGAAGATAGTGTAGGTCAAAGAGTGGTACTACGATGGCGAAATATTAGATTTATATTCGTTCTTAACAGTGCTCGCATCAGACTTGGTATTTGGGAGCTGACATGCAGCTTTTTGAGCTCTTTCTGATGGTGATTGTTATTACCAAAAAGTAAGAAGTCGGTTTATTCAAAAAAGCTATATTTAAGAGGAATATTCTCTAGACACCCACTTCTAGGTAAACCCATCTACATACTACTACTGCTGCTTGCATTTGTGGTTCCTGCAGCGTTGACCTACATCCTCGAGCTGGACGCAATATACCATATACGTCCAGAGTAAGTATTCTAAACCAACCGGGTTTAGCAGCTAACGATTTTTTTTCGTAGGACATATCGCTACTTGTATTTTCGGCACTCGGATACCTTTTACCAGATGTATCCACCCTTCTACACCAATCTTGGTGGCTACCTCTTTGGGTTCTTGTGCGGGCATCTCTACATCCACCAACGTTCCTCTACGGTCGTCCTCCGAGGGAAGCTGAGGTATGAGCTGGGCATGTGGCTGCTTGTATCGGCAATCCTGGGTTTGCTGATGTCCGGCTATATCTTTATGCGGCATGACTTTGCTAAGCCCTCCTTGTGGTTGGCCTTGTACGCCGGTCTTCACAAGAACCTGTGGGTGTTGATTTGCGCGGGATTCGTGTTCCTGATGAGCTGCAAAGTAGGAGGTGAGTAAAGGGAGAATCAGGCACTGTGTAATCACTCACCAAATGGAGAAGGCATGGCCTATGCCTTCTGCACCATGCCGGTGTTTCGACCTCTGGCTCGGATTTCCTTTCAGGCCTTTCTCTGGCATATCGTCGTTATTCGTGTGGTGGTGGGCGGGATCCGGCAACCGGTATATGTCAGTAGTCTATTTCTGGTAAGCTAATCGGCTTTGTAGCATCTTTGTAACTATTTTAACGTTAAATCCTATTCAGATTTGCAATGTCCTGAGTGTTTTTATTTTAACACTCACCGTGTCTGCTTTTTCGGCGCTGTTACTGGAGTATCCACTGGGAGAGGTGCTGCGCTGTTTTTTGACACAGGAAAAGAGTGCGTATTGCTATATGTCAATTCATTACAACTAAAACAATCTACTTTTAGATAAAAAAGAAACAAGTCCAGAAATTCAAATGGGACGCGCGCAGTCAGCTGCTTAGAGTGACCGTATTCTGGGCCAGGGCTACCTTTATTCATAATAAAGAACAAAAATTGTAGCTAAAAATCTTCTATCTTCTTAAATAAAGATTCTAAAATTAGATTTTGGAATTTTCCTTACATAAGTTTGTACTTTGCTCATTAATAAAATATATTTTAAAATTAAAGTATATATATATTGTATATCTAGCGGAAAACCGCTAGATATGAAATCGATTACTTTCGAACTTATCGAAGCAGTCGGCAGCACTGACCGAATCGCCAAACAATCGCCCATCGCCCGACTGATATCAACAACAACTCTTAGACGCTCGGTCGGCATTTTTGCACTTGTCCCGTTTTTCTGCTGACTGAAAACTCTTCCCGTAGTGTCTTAAATTCGGTATCGTGTGCTAAATTCTCCAGTTGATATCCCAAGTTGAATGCGCTGGTCCTAGTGAGATAAAAGAAAAGTGAGTGCAGTGTCTGAGTGAATGGGTATTTTGGTTTCTTGCGGCATCTTTGGCACTGCCACACTGCCAGCAGCAGCAGCAGCATTAAATGTCAAGCGAAATGAATCACGGCGGATATTTTGGCCGAGTATGAGTATTTTTGTCGGTGTCAGTGGCAACTATCTGTAGTGTGTTACTGGAACTAGGGGGGCCCCCCGCATCTGCTGCACCCTGCCAATAAAAATAAACGCGCGTATTACAAAACCATTAAAAATCACGGTAAAATAAGTGCGACGGTGTGCGTGAGTGCATTTCGAAGTGCGCATGTTCGAAAGAAAAAGAGCCAAGTGGCTTTCGGCTTTTGGCTCTCGCTCTCGTTTCCGCTCTCGCGGAAATATGAGTCCAACACCCAAAAAAGGGAATAAAGAGAAGCGTCGCGCAGCAGCAGCAGCAGCGCGAAACAACGACAACATATCGCCAAAACAGCCAGCGTTTCGCACTTGATTGTGTTAATTGTTTTTCTCGCTTTTCCCCAATAATTTGTGTGCTTTTCCGGCCCGTCTTTTGGCTTGTTTATGTCGAAAGAGCGGCCACCCGAAAGAGCGGAAGGGGGAGGGCGAACGAGAGAGCCAACGGCCCAGCGAGAGAGAGAGAGAGAAAGGAGGGGAAAGAATGTGCCAATTGTTGCTTGCAAAGCAACAAGTCTTGCGGGGGTGGAGAGGGGGGTGGCTAAAAGCCAAAACACGGCTGGCGACTGGAGAGACCCGGATTGCCAGAAACGTGGCTCCCAGTTGGCCCGAATGTGGGACAAGTGTGAAAAACAAGCGACCTCCAGCGGCGACGACGGCGCGGCTGCGTCTTGGAAAGTGCGAGCGAGTCGGCGAGCACACGCCCCCACGCACAGTAAATTCTGTGGCGGCCCGCCACCGTCGAGCAGAGCGAAACGAAACGTAGCCAACACCAATTAGTGACAAAATATGTATGAAAAAAAAAAAAAAAACGCACTGGATGGAGCAAACACACACACACACACACACATATACAAAGACTGGCAGTGCTGGCACGTCGCGATTATACGGTCCCCCATCTTGCGATTACTGCGCCCCCAACAGCTGTTCTCCCGCATTCCGTTAATCAGCTGCGACAGAATGCAGATCGTGATATGCTCTCGCCGTATGAACGATGATCGGAATAGTCAGAAGGAGGGAGGGGCGGAGGAGGGCAACTGCCGCCCAGTCTGACTAAGCGCAAGTGCAGAAAATAGCAACAAGTAGACAAGTGTAGTGGCAAGAGGCAGAAGCAGCAGCAGTAGCAGTTGCGTCCCGCAATTAAGACACCAACAAAGACCAGCGACAGCCTCCACTCGGGGTGGCTAGTGACTCGGGGCACTGTCGGGTGGGGCAATGCATATGCATGCGGTTAATTTTAGTAGCAGAGTTCCACTTTCACTCGAGTACAGTGGCGGCGACACCCACCGAGCCAGTCGCTTGCCTCGAGCGACACTTGCGCGGTTTTTGTCAAAAAAAAAAAAAAAATCAGCTAATCGCCGTCAGGCACGCAGCAAGTTTGATGAACCTCCTCCATACAGAGGCACAAGATGCACATAGCCATAGCCAATGACGTTGCCACAATGACATCATCAGCGAAAGTTGTGGCTGCAGCACAGAGGGTCTGTGCTTATCACAGAAGATGACTCATGGGGCACGGGGCATGGGGCAGGGAAACATTTGTTAGCAATTAGAACTGACACGGTGATCACAACGTGTCGACAAAGCGCCAAGATTGGCAGTCGCTGGACCGTTGCAGGCAACGCATCATTTGAGAATCAAGTGGCATAGCAACTATATCTACTCATGAGGCTAATATTCCAAGTCCCAACTGGGCTCTCAAACATGCAACACACATTTTGTTGAAAGATAACAGCCGAGTCACTCAGCTTTTGTTGTTATCGAAAGCGAGTACTGCTGTGTGGCTTGTTATCTGAAATTCTTTCCTTTGTGTGGGGGGACTACAAACCACAATTGGTATAAACCTCCCCCTAGGAAGGAACCTCCCCTTTCCGATTAATCCCCAAACGTCTTGATGAGGAATGCAATTAATGGGCAGTGACGGGCTGGCGGGCGAGTCCCCAAGATGCCAGCTAAATAAATAAACACATTAGATGCGATTTACAACGCTCCTCCGATCGTCGAGAGCCGTGTGTTTATATTCAAAAAAACTGAAATTCGCCCAAGATGATTTAATTTTCTATTTATAAGTTTGACCTTCAAGTCGGGAAATATAGACAGAAATTTTCCCGGCTGCAGGCTAAGGTGTTTGCGTCGCAGATTCTAAAATATATTCTTTGGAGAATATTCCATCGATAGGTGTGTAGCACTTGGTATTATCTCTACTGATACTACTCTTTATCTTGGCAAGCTCGATAGGAAGGGAGGGACACCCACTCCATAGCTTTGTGGAAAAGTGGTATCACCTTGTGGCCCAAAAATAAACAAAACACACTATTTAGCAGGTCAATGACAAAGTTTGGTGTTTGCCTGCCAAACGCCACGCAATAAATATGAATATCTTTGAAAAGACAAAAAAAAAAAAAAAAAAAAAACTTAATATATTATATGACACTTTTACTGATTAAAAACGAAAGCTGGTTTAGTCAGCCTGCCGGCCGAGCGGCCCAACCCAGAAATCATTTCTGCGGTATGGCTCCGAACACGTATGGATATATGAGTGTATATATATTTTGTATCTAAAAGTCTGGGGGTCTCTCGGGTTCTGTTTTGGAATTAGGTTTGGTTTGGGGCTTGTGCCCGCCATAATTCACGTGTTGGCCGCCGATTTGATGAGTATTTCCAGACCTATGATGTCATTAGAGGTTGGAAGCGAGGCTCTTGGCTGATAATTTCCCGTTCGAGGCACGTTCCGGCCAGCACTTCATTAACGAAAGTACTACCGCATTTGGCAGGTGGAGAAAGCGTTCTAGCGATGCCAGTGGATTCCATAACCACCCAACAATAGTCCCCACCGAATGGAAAGCTTATTGATTTTCGCAACAAACGATATTAGCATATATGCAAATTTATTGAACAAATCGGCGAAAGAAAAGGCGCAAAAGTTAATTCATCAACTAGAGATGGAGGGCTGGGGGAGCTGAGGCACCTGGTAGCTGCGACTAATGATCACTACCCGAGTGTTGGTTTATACGCTACTCCCAACTCGCGGAAAGGTCACTAATCTTCGTATTCTGTTCTATCGTATCGTTTCAGAGGTAGAAGTAGAGAAACTTTGGACTGACCTCTGACCTGACCCAAGCCATCACAATAGCAAGATGTCGTTTCGCGTTGTACGCAGCTCCAAATTCCGTCACGTCTACGGCCAGGCCCTGAAGCGGGAGCAGTGCTATGACAATATTCGGGTCTCCAAGTCCAGCTGGGACTCCACATTCTGTGCCGTCAATCCCAAGTTCCTGGCCATCATTGTGGAATCGGCGGGTGGTGGTGCCTTCATCGTCTTGCCACACAACAAAGTAAGTGCTCCCTAAAGAAGGGCTATTACCCACCAAAAACGTCAAATAATTTAGTTTCCTAAGAATATATTTTTAAAATCAAACGCTTTCTATTCATAGGATTTCATAGTTTTTGGGCATAAAGTTTGTGGCCATTTGCGGCCTTGTTGCCACGTCGGTGCTGGTGCCGGTGACGTCGACTGATTTCGCATCCCCGATTCTGAGTCCGATTCCCACACGCATTTATAAATAGTTATGAATACTCGCCGCTCTCTGCGAGGAGATCTCTTAGTTGGCGTACTTTTGTAATTTGGCCCACAGCCAACATGACAAACCAAATTGTCTAATTTTACCAGCGAACGGGAGGGAAATATCAAAAGAGCACCACCCATCCAAAATGGATACCAAAGATGATGATATTTGGAAAAGAATTATAGCGTTGCACCACCCAGCTCTCGGCTCGGCTCGACTCGCGCGAATTATTCCGCCATTAAATATTCTTTTATATTCCAATAAATTTCATTTTCACTCTCCATTTAACGCAAAAAGCGAGAAAAGAAATCCAAATGGAATCACATGCGCATCCGTTCGGCCAAAGCTTCTTCCACAAATGCGTTGGCGGATGATCCGTTCCGTGGCCTCTTTTTTTTTGGTCAAAAGTAGTATAACTCGGCTCGGTAGTGTTTCTGTAATTTGGCCACAAATTTGTATGCAAAGCCGCCGTTTCTTCAAGTGAAGATTTCTATGTAGAGCGGTCTTCACACGCTCTATTTTATGGAGACTAGATGTGGTAGGAGGGCGGGGCATGAGATCCATCAACAGGCCGACATGTGGCAACTTTTGTCTTGAGTGGGCAGAGTTCTTCAAAAGATTTCAATAGTTTTAAAATATATTTCTTGATATTTCCCAATATTTTTGAAGGTTCTATAAAGATATAGTCTCTAGATCCATTAGGTTCTTTGGAAGTATCTTCCATAATCCCCTCGCCAAGTGGCCTAGACTCATGAAGTTGCAAATTATGAATCGCTTGCTCGGCATATTAGCAACTGCGGCTATAAATAAATAAAGAATCCGAAATTAGGCCATTAGGTTGCTACGCTGTGGCTTCTGCTTTTGGTTGGTCTGGAACTAATTGCTCTTTGGTTTCAGGTTGGACGCATTGCGGCTGACCATCCACTGGTGGGCGGACACAAGGGTCCAGTGCTGGACATTGCCTGGTGCCCGCACAACGACAATGTGATCGCCTCCGGCTCGGAGGACTGTGTGGTCAAGGTGTGGCAGATACCCGACGGAGGACTGTCGCGCACGCTTACCGAGCCCGTTGTGGATCTGGTGTTCCACCAGCGTCGCGTGGGTCTGGTCCTGTGGCATCCCTCGGCTCTCAACGTCCTGCTCACCGCTGGCTCTGACAACCAGGTAAGGATAGGCATCTTCTACTTCATAGATCCAAATACTTACCCAATCTTATATGTAAAGGTGGTCATCTGGAATGTGGGTACTGGTGAGATTCTCGTCCACATCGACTCGCATCCGGACATCGTGTACAGCGCTTGCTTCAACTGGGACGGCTCCAAGCTGGTCACCACCTGCAAGGATAAGAAGATCCGCATCTATGACCCGCGCACCGGCGATCTGGAAAGCGAGGCCATGTGCCACGAAGGCTCCAAAGCCACACGAGCCATTTTCCTGAGGCACGGACTTATCTTCACGACGGGCTTCAACCGAAGCTCCGAGCGCCAATACTCGCTGCGTGCCCCAGACGCTCTCAATGAGCCCATCGTCATGGTGGAGCTGGACACGTCCAATGGCGTCATGTTCCCGCTGTACGATGCCGACACCAACCTGATCTACCTCTGCGGCAAGGGAGACTCGGTTATAAGGTACTTTGAGGTGAGTTTTTATGAGGAAGACCATCTTGGTTAAGCTTATTAATCATCCTTCTTCTACCAGGTGACGCCCGAGCCCCCGTTCGTCCACTACATCAACACATTTCAGACGACAGAACCGCAGCGCGGTATTGGTTTGATGCCCAAGCGAGGCTGCGACGTGACCACCTGCGAAGTGGCCAAGTTCTATCGCATGAACAACAACGGTCTGTGCCAGGTCATCTCCATGACAGTGCCCCGCAAGTCGGATCTCTTCCAGGAGGATCTCTACCCCGACACCCTGGCGGAGGATGCCGCCATCACTGCCGAGGAGTGGATCGACGGCAAGGACGCGGATCCCCTCACATTCTCGCTCAAAGTAAGTGGCCCTTTGGCCGCAGGCCGTTGCTCTCCATCTAACGTTGGGAATACAGCGCTCGCAGCTGGGTACGACTAGGGCTTGGCCCCTTGCCAGCCATTTAGTCGTTCGGCGATCAGAGCGTACAGGATATACCTATATAGGAACCATGTCAGAATGCATGCTCGCGGGGCAGGACCACAGTTGGCAACGCGGCTCAATGTCGGTGAGGCAGCCGCTGCCAACTGGGACGCCCCTTCTCCAATGTATTCCAACGGCTTCTGCAGTTTATTTTGCTCGTACCCGCGGCCGGAGTTCTTCGGAGCTCCTGCTTGGTGTTTGCTTCCTGTGGTGGCTACCAGCGTGTGATGCCTGCGCTTGCTTTGCTTGCGTTCCTTTCTGCGTTATCTGCGTTTGTGTCTCGTCCGCCCAGCCACGACACACCATCATGTACACCATCCAAACACACACTGATCTATAACCACATGTCCCCAAGATAGTAGGACCTCTTTGTAAACAATAACGTCCTGTTCTTAATCAAAGATGCTGTTGGTTTTAAAGATACGCTATTAACTTGAGCCAACCTTTGATACAAGAGCATTAAGTAAGACCGCCCACAGAACTATACTGCTATTACCATGGCTTACACATTTGGCCGTAACACGCACGCGCGTGGCGCTTGTTGTTGTGTTCATTGTTGCTTGTTTTGTTCCGAAACGAACAGATTTTCTAATAAACCTAATCAGGATCGCGTCTCTATTGTGCAGGGTGGCTACGTCTCCTCGTCGGCCAGCAAGTCGCTGTCGGTGAACAAGAAGGCCAACATTCTGAACAAGCCGCGCGGTGGCGGCGGCGGCTCTGGAGCGGGGAGCAGCAGCGCGGGCGGTGGCAACCATTCGTCCGCCAACAACAACGAGGCTAGTGATGGCGGAGCGCCGGCAGCGGTTTTATCGGTGAGTCTCTTATGGGTTTTAGATCCTGTCATCTTGTTTAACGAGCCATGTTTCTAGGAAAAGGATCTGCGAAACATCCAGGACGAAATACGCAAGCTGAAGGCCATCATCGTCAAGCAGGAGAACCGTATACGTGCCCTGGAAGCCAAGGCCAATGCCGGCAACGGTGACGAGACGGACGCACGCAACAAGAATGGAAGCGGATCAGCAGCGCCAGCGGCATCCGCGGCCTCCGCGGACAGCCACGCCAACGAAAGTGCCAACGACCATGCGTCCACGTCAACAGGAACGGCACAGGACGAGGACTAGGCCGTGGGAGCGTGCCAGTGGGAGCGGGAGAGAGTTAGACGGATTGGGGAGCGGATAGAGAACTGCCCCAATGCCACATAACGCTGGGAAGAGAATTGATAAAGAGGATTGTCTATTGCGATTATGATTTCGATTATTTATTTTATGTAATTAATATATTAGGACCTTAGCGAGCGAAATCAGTTGAGAGTGGCACACATAGGATTAGAGAAAGCCGAACCGTAAACTAAACCGTAAACCATAAACCGTAAATCGTAAATCAAATCAGATCAGATCAGCAGCAAGCAAAGCTGGACGATGATCGTCTATAACATAACATAATACAACATCCTGCCAAAAATATATAAAACCTAACGAACTACCTACAAGTTGCGCCCAAAATCAAGAGGAGCGAAGGGCAAGGACTCTGGCTCGGCCCTCGTCGATTATTTTGTTGTGACGCAAGTGTGAAATTGTTGTAAATTTAAATCAAAGCATAGAAGGCAAAGCATAGACTAAACCTACACTGTCTAAGAGTTAACCTTTGTACCAGCACTTTTTATAAACGCCTGTATATTTGTACATCCCGAAAGGGTAAAAATTTTCATGACAATAGTTGGTAGACTCGATACTAGCCGATGTCCTCCACCCCCACCTAATCACTTTTGCCTGCAAATTGTCGTGTCAAACATAACGAATTTAGATAACAAGTGATCGGGGGACATCGACCATTATTATATTTCGAAAAATCAAAATCAAAATCTGTTTATCCAAACTAATCAAACATTAATCATTTGTATCTTGAGTGCATAAAAATAAATGCGAAAGCAACAGCCCCAAATTCATAAATCAACGAATAATTTTAAAGGAATTTTTATTTTTAATTATCTGTTTTATTTCTATTAGTTTTGTTAAACGAATCATTGTTTATTTGCCGCATAGAGAGTAACAGCATGAGTAAATTGCCTACCGATTTTGTAATAATATAAACGCAGACTCTATACATAAATCTAAATACATAATATACTTTATATACAAATAATTTACAATTTGATACAAAATAAAACAATATACAAACTACTATAGAGGGTTTTAAGAATGGGGGGATACTTTCTTGTCTTTTGATTTTATGTTATCCTTGAAACTTTAATTATGAACTGGAAACATTTTAAATCCCTTAATGCACAGTATTAAATCAGTTATATCATATGGAAATTTTATTATAATTGACAACTCTTAATTTGTGAAAACACGGCCTATCCATGCATCGCTTATTTGCGGTGGATTCTTTGGCCAGTTCAATTGAATATGCAAATGCATTTAATTTCTGCCTAAACAGCTTTGGTGCTCAGTGCATAATTTGTAGCGTTTAATTATTACCTCATGAATGGCGGCAAAAAAATGCAATTACTATTTACGTTTATAATGATTCTGACGTTTTAATTAAACTTGGCCCGATGCGCTTTTTTGGGTGTGTTGTTGATTTAATTAAAATTCTGTTTGTTGTGCAATTTGGTTGAATGAAATTTTTGATATTTGCCGACAGCTCTTTTAGACTTTTGATACCAAATATAGAAATATGAAATATATACATATATTTGATTCTAAAGAGATCTCACTTCTACCCGAAGGTTTAATCATTCCCTACTTATTACAGAACGTACCTGCTGCCATTATACCAGATTTGGCACTGAATTATGTCCCCATCATCATTCGAAATGGGGCAGTAAATAATGATGCTCTGGAATTAAAAATCAAGACCCCATTTCACGTGTACACCGTCGCCTCCAGGTGAGGATGCGGCCTGCCATAAACGCTCAATGATTGTCAAAACAGTTTCAAGGCATTTGTTAATTAAAAGCAAGCAACAAATAGGCCAAGTCCTGGGAGCTCGAAGACGTGGAAACACGTGCTAAATAAATACACCAACTTGCTAAGTACCAGCAGACATATCACCTCCAGCTCCAGCTCCAGCACCTTGGATGCCTTCTTGCCGGAACCCCCTTGACAGCGACACTGTCGTAAATTCACACGAGCCTTGGCTTTTGTTTGTGTGCGTGCCGGCATGGCTTTAATGCAAAAAAGATATACATGTACCTATATAAAAAATATATACATATATTCCCACACAAAGGGGCCGTCAAAACATTACTTCCTTCGCCGGAGTGTTTTGGGTATTTGTTTATTTTCGCATGAAAATAAATGCGTTTAATGGCGGAAGTTTATGCCTCGTAAAGAGAAGTTAATTAGCTTTTTGGAGTATGAAATTTGTTTCCCACTCCCTTTCTAAAAAAAAACCGCAGTATCCACTACGTTTCCGATAGCAATTTTAACATTTTTCAATACCTATGGTCTTTTTAGAAAGGCTTTTGCAATTAAACTTTCCTCATAAATTAGGAGTCATAATGTTTATATCATAGAGATCGAAAAAGAATTAACCTGGGCGTATACATAATTTCATAATATCAAGTATACGACCCGATAGGAAAATTGGAGGAAAAGTGTCTATACTTGGCCATTACTTGGTTAAAACTTCTGTGATTGGTTAATGACATACCTTATATAGTAATCCTTTTCCAAATCGGTTATGATGTGGCTGAAATATTGGCTAAACCTACAATATTAAATAGCGATTCAGACCTACTAGAACCCCGCAGACCTTTGTCTGCGAAAGTTTAGTGAAATACTTTTAAAATCAATTATATAAAAACCCTTTAAAAAAGCTTTAATTTTTGTTCAAATTATAATAAAAAAAACAATTAATTTTCAGTGAATAAGAAGTGAAAGAAAGTAACATTTAATCGGCAAAAAATCGAACTCATTCATCTGTGTAAAATAGGTTTGCTGAATTTTTTAAGCCACACACTTTTCAATGAGTTGGTTTAAATTGCTTAACGAGGTCGTTTTTCACAATGCAAATTATATTTCTGTCAATGAAGCAAAATTTAATTATAATTTTGTTGGATAATCTATGTAAACATGTGCTATGATAGCCCAAGGCAGCTGCAGGGCAGTTAACGCATTAACTTTGTGGCACAACGTCGCTCCAGGTGAGTCTTTAAGTCAAGTTGACGACGTGTTTGCATCCAAGCCGCAAAAGCAAATATTTGCAGCATCCCACCGAAGAATGCCCTATGCTATCCCGTCCCCGTACCCGTCCCTGTCCCTGTTGCCGTCCAGTCTTCGTCCTTCCGCCTCAAATAGTTTCCGGCATAGACAAAAAGTTGTTTTTCAGTTGAGGGACAGCCTAAGAGGCCGAAAGTTTCGCAAAAGCGCACGCAACCAAAAAACATGAAAATAGTTTTCCTTCCACCGCATTTATGAAATGTGCACCACAAGGATCTGGAGACTGTGTAGGTGTGTGTGTGTGTGGGTGGGTGCGTGTCTGTCACACATACAATAACTTTCACTTAGTTGAAGGGCGGGTGAGAGCGGGCCTGGGGATAAGCGGCTTAAAACTGGCGCTAGGATGCCCAAAAGTGTTGAGCCAGCAACTCCCGCAGGACGGAGGACACGGGCCAAACGGCAGGAGGGCTTCCTGCCAACTGCCAACTGCCATTTTTGGCAAATATTTGCACAGATAATGAAAGTGCACCCATACCCGAGGGGGTGTATGTGTGTTATACTATATATCTATACATATATATAGTAGTGGGCATTTGGACAATGTGTTGAATTGAGTTTGCCGCCTGCTTTCGGATTTGATTTTGTTGACAATTCACTTTGCAGCGGTAATTGACCCTAATGCTGTTGCTTTTGGCCCTGTTCTCTTCCTTTTTAAATCGATACCGCTTTTTTGGCATCAAAATTCAATTTGCCAAATAAGTTTGCAACCGACACTGATCCAAAAACCTACACTTATCGAAGGGGGCTTGAGAGAAGTAAAAATATCACTCATACGCCCTGTTGCCTCTTCTTTGAACTTCAGTTGAGAGGTTAATGATTTTGTTCTGTGGACTGCATATCTCATGTATCTCATGTATATATTCTATTCAGTTTTAGGATTTTTATACACAAGGACACACTGTGCCATGGCGAGGACATTGCACGTGCCTAAATACATTGCAAAAAATGTCAAAAGGCACGTTTTGGTGTTTTGTGATTTCTCTTTTGCATGTCATGTGGCCCAAAACAAAACTTTGAATTTTGTGTTGGCTGGCGGTTGAGGTCCTTCCGGCGTCTGGAATTGTTGCCAACTACGTGACTATCATGCAGCATTTACTGTACCAATAAATGTCACAAATGGGAGGAATGTGCGCGCCGAAAGCATAAGGACGAGTGCCAAGAGTAACAGCAATCCCATCTAATTCAATTACAATTATACAAATATCGATTTCCGGTCGAGAGCGACCGAGGTTTAGCCAAAAATATTTAAATGCGAATCGATTGGCCTGGGACGTACATATCCTTGGCATGTCCTGTAGCCACCCCACTCGCAGTCTCTCTGGCTTTGTTTCAATGCAATCGTCTGTGGCTAATCGGGTTCCTATTTGCTCGATGTCTGTATGGGACCGTCTGGCCCCAGAGCGTCCAAATACTGGCATTCACATTCTCATTCAAAATGGTATTCCCATTCACTTGCCGTGCACATTGTCAGACAGGAGCCATAAATTAGGCAGTTGCTAAGTGCTTCGATGTTTGGCTGTGGCTCCAGCTTTGAATCCTTAGTGGAATCCGGCTTAGGAACCGGATTCGGGAACAATGCCATCCAAGATATACATATATGCACGTTACACTTTAATTGTGGCATGTGTGAACATTAAAGTCCAGCCACAGGATTTCATAAAAATAAAATTGCATAGTATATGGCCCGAAGTGGCACATGAAGGGCTCAAATCAAATATTTAACTGCTTTGTGCTGAAAATGTGCTGAAAAGCTAGAATGTGCCGGTCCAAATATTTCATTCATTGCAAAAAATAGAGAAACCTGTTCGACAGTTGCAAAATTCATGGAAAATTCATGAGTTTGGCCAGAATTTACAATTTTCACTTAACATACCAGCTGCATAGTCACTGCTGAACTTGCTAAATATTTTTATTACATATGAGCAACTATTTCAGATATTTTCTGCATAAATTTTCTTTTTCCAGACACTTTTATTTCAGCTCATGCAATTTTCAAGAAATAGCAATTAGCCAAGGGCAAAAAGGGCCAAATAAAAGAGCCAGAACTAAGGGCGTTCCTGCCCTGAAATGAGAGACCAAAAAAACCCAATTATCACTTATTCAAGCCAAGTGCTTGGGTCTCTCGCTCAGATCATCCTGGCC